GCCGGGCGGGGGAGGGGCGGGCCGGCGCTCGGCGGCGGGTCCCCCGCTACCTGTGTGGCCCTCGACCTGGCTCGGACCCCCAGGCGGGCTCCGGGGCGCTTTGCGAGGCTGTGGAGGAAAGCTGTGAAAGGAGTGAGTGTGAGGCTCTGCCCTCGCCGCCTGTGCACGGCGGGGGTCGCGCCGCTCCTCGTTTCTTTAATTCCCGGCAGACGGCGAACGGGCCGGCGTTGCGGGGCAGGTAACTGCGAGGGGTCCCTCGGCCGGCGGGGAGCAAGTGGGGCGAGGCGGCGGCGGCGGTGGGGGCGGGAGGTGCCTAGGTCCCGGAGAGGAACTGAATGGGAAGGGAAATTTAGGGTGCCCTCCCCTCCAAGCGCTTTGTTGTGCAGAGGTGGGGGGTGCCCGGCTGCCGACGCGATCTGGCCTCCCGCCGACCGGGGAATGGAGCCGGCCCACCTCCGCTCCCTCGGCACGGTCCCGGCGGCGAAGAAAGGTTCCCAGGTCCCGGCCCCGAGGGCGCAGCCCCTTCCCTGTCACCCTGGGAAGCGCAGCTTTTCCGCTCCCCACCCCCACCCTTTTAAAGAGAGGTCGCGTTTTTTTGTTTTTTTTTTTTGGTTTTTTTTTTTGCCTGCGTTGAAATTGAAAACTTCAGGGCGAGTTCGGTGGTGCTCTTTATCCAGACGTTATTCTTTAAGGATACGACGAGCCCAAGCGTGACGGGCACCCCTTTCCCCCACCCTTGGGATCCCATGGGGGACCCCCCCCAGGGCCCCTCGGGCCGCTTGCCCGCCCACCCTCGAGCGGCCCCAGCCCTCCGGACCAGATGGCTTGTCTTCCTTCCCCGGGCTTCCGCCAGGGAGGTCCTCCACTCGGAGGGAACATTCCTTCTCCCCCCAAGACTCCTTTACCCCCCAATACACCGTTCGTGTGTGAGAGACGTTTTTAAATGTCTCCGCGCAGAAAAACTGAAAGTAGAAAGGAAGCAATTTCCGAGCAGATGTCTGACCACCCCTTCTCGCATACTCCCAGCATCGGGTTACAGGGTCCCCCGGAGCCCCCATCCACATTCTGCGGCCCCACACGAGCGAACCCGCAGACCCTCCACGCCAGAGTGTGCACGACCCCTGATCGTTGCCCGCCCCCCCCCGACCCCTCTCCATGCGCGTCCCCTCCCCGGAGGAGAGGGCAGCAGCGCCGGCGATCGTCAAGGTATAAATATGAATCCGTGACATTGACGTGCCCGCGCCTCCCCTCCCCCGCGCTCCCGGCACACTCTGGGCTGCTCGGCACGCCCCCTCCCGTTCCACTGCGTCCCGCGCGGCGCGCTCATCCCCGAGGGGCCCCTGCAGCCTCTCCGCGTGAAGACGGCTCCAGCCCTGCAGGGAAAGAAAAGTAACGAGAAACCAGGCAGGCTTCCGCGGCTCGCGAGAGGGCCGGAGCGCGCGGAGGGTAGCGTGGGGAGCTTGGAGGAAGAGGAGGGGAGTCCGGAGGAACCCCGCGTGGGGCGCTCGGGGTATCTGATTGCACTTTCTTCTCGTCCTCTCGCCCCCTCTTTAGGTGCGGAGTTGTGGATGGAGACGCGCCGGGGCAGAGACTATGTGATCGCGTCGGTGTCTGGGTAGAGGACTTCGCTTCGGGGAGGGAAGAGGAGGGATCGGCGCGCTCCTCCGCGGCGGCGACTCGGCAGGCGGAGTTTCGCGGCTGCCGCACCAAGGTTGCGCCAGCCCGCCGAGAGGTCGCTCCAACCAGCCTCGGCGGCCGCGCGAGCCCCAGTGTCCAAGCCGGCCGGGGCGAGGGGAGAGCGAG